TGCGTTGTGGAATTGTGCGTGTAACGAAGGAGAAAAAAATAAAGGGGAGGGGGGAGGATTTGCAGCCACACAAAAGTACTGCAACACAGGGATATACTCAGGATTCATAGTGTCACTACATTTGCACGCGTGTTGGTAGTGGATAAAGAGGTTGATGTAGTTTCCTACCGTCTATGGATGAGATGTTCATTCACTTTTTGTTGCAATGGTATATGCAAACAGCCGAGTCGAGTAGTGTACTGCCAAAAAAAATTTACTTCCGAAAAATGAGTATTAGTGTATCTCATCTACAACACCTTTGATCTCATTACCCCCGTCGCAGTCATTTAATCTATTCCGCATCTGAATGTCGAACCAAAGCGCTGTCGTATTGCTTACAAGGCTATTATCGCTACGCGAAAATTCATCGTTTCACTTGATTTTAGACTCTTTAAAGCAGTCATCATTCCACTTGATTAACGAATACGCACATCATATCAACCAGAGTTATAAGCTCCTTTACTTATCGTATGAAACAGCCAATAGACCTCCTTGTGCAACCGAGTTTATTGATTGTGCCAGTAAAGAAACCAATGATGTCCTAATGTCTATCAAATCCCATACAAAGAATATTTCACCAAGCTCAAAATTGGTAGTAGTCATTGACTCATTGAATTACATTCCTAATGAGAATTTAACTCACTATATTGCTAATATTGTTGGTCCAAACGTGGTGCTCATAGCTACATACCACACGAACTGCGTGGAACCATTTGTGAAACACACCAACTACCCATCCAGTCTCTCATTGCTTACGTACATCGCCAGCACCATTTTTGAAGTCGAACCTTTATTGAATTCATCAACCGACAACGAGAGTTTGGGAAGTGCTGTTCTACGATTGAACTTCCCCGTACATGCACAATTGAATAGCGATACCTTCAGGCTCAATCTTACAAACAGAAGGAAGTCTGGCAGATCAATCATTTACAAATTCACTATCGACAGCAAGAGTCACGCCTACGAGGTTGCAAACAGTAACACTGAGGCAAAGGACGAAGACGAAGAGGAGATGTTGAAGAATTTGACCACGTTTAACTTGGCCACAAGTAGCAAACAGAAGTTGGCCAGAGAACAAGTTGAGCTACCTTTCATGCAAGCTCAGGAAACACTTGGTTCGGCTGGAGGAGCTATTGTCTACGAATTCGAAAAAGACGATGATTATGATGAAGAAGATCCATATGAGGATCCTTTTTAGAAAAGAGTACACAGTATATATGCAGCAAATCCGTGACAACAATATCACATTCACTCAACTTTTGTCTTGAAATTACCAAATTTCGATAGTACTGCCCGTTTAAGTTTGGCCAAATTTGTATTCTGAGAAGCATACTCAAACTCTTCCTCTGTAACCGTCTTTTTTGATAACAAATTGAATATCGTGCCAAAAGCAAGTGATAAAACTGTGCATGTCAAAATGATAACATTATAAGGCATTGAAAAGTCGGGTGTTGGTAAGGTCAACAATAGACTCGTTGTTCGAAATTCGTAGCCACCACGATGACTTCCATCATTGATCCTGACAACAGCTGGCTCAATGTCAAATCCATGATTTGCATCTGGAGGGTATTCTTTGTATAGTAGCAACGACTTATCAAAGTCGTAGGTTATAACCAACGTCAGCAATGACGGGACCATATAATCAAACTCTAGCTGAGAAGGTCTTTGGCGATCTACTGCTGGTTTATAGTACCTACTCTTGATGAACTGCGATTGATCATCAACGTGATAAATACCACTTGAGTTCTTCAAAGTAACATCCAACGTACTTATGTACAATCTCATGAACCACGGCAACGATTCAAAGTAGGTGAATGCGACATCTTTGGTCCCAGGATTGGTAAAGACAACACGCAAACCGCCCTTATCCAATGAATATCCCATTAGTGAACGAGAAACGTACAATGGAGGAGGTGTTATAGGGACAACGACGCTGGAGTTGGTGGTTGAAAATTTAAAGTTGTAGTCGTAGGGTTCCACTATCGGTTCCACAACGGTATCGGAACCATGACTATCGACGAATCTGGTTGCTACGAATGTGGGGCTTTCTTTTAGCAAAGTGATATTCCACGCCGAAGGGTCATAATTAATGACGACTTTACTCACATCGAGGTCACCCTCAAACGCTGGTCCTTTGATTGTTCTGCCATACAACGTGTCTAAGCTCCATTCCAATTCGACGGGATCGGACAATGGAAAGCATTGCCATATGTTGTGTTCTTTCGAAGTGTCACATCTCAATTTTTCACCTGGAGTGGGCTTGGGAATTCCACCTTCTTCTTTTTTGCGCAACGACCGAACCACATCAATAACTTGGTTCACAGTTTGGTACAAGTTCAACTTGCAGCCACCATCATCATCGCACTCTGTGAAAATGTCCACAGACATTCCGTGCCATAAGGAGTCAAAGACTTTGTGCCCGTCGAGAAGTGACGAGATTCCAGCTTTACCTCCAGTAGGTAATAACTTTAAGAACGGTGTCAAATTTTCGGTACAAATAGGCTCGCTCGGTAACGCTGCACGGAGGAGGTAAAGCTTGTTCCCTACTTCCGGTCTATAATTACCCGTGTTCGCACCCAGTACAGCATATTTAGGAAAGGTTGTGATATCGTTGTCAATAAAGTTCAAGGATGCGCAGAAGAAGCCAGATAAAGTCTTTGTTAGCTTTGACCAATGTTCCCGTGCAACCGAGACATTTGGTGCTTCTATCAAGGCCACAACCTCGACCCCAGTCCCACCGCTGAACCAGCCGTCATACGGTAGGTTACCCCACGAGTGTGCATCCCACCAACCTTGAGTAAACCTCAATGACAACTCCCTGGTATTCGTTGATTCTATTATTGGACCAAGCGCACTTGGAAATACCGTGTAGTGGCTTTCTTTTAAATATTGAGCACTATTAGCGTCCTCATGGTAGGAGGAATCAAACTGTGCTGACTTGACTTTGAAATCGAATGTGGAAAGCAATTTGTTTCTGGGTAAAGGCTGCAAGGTTAAAGATTCCAGGTAGGATGCACCTCCAATTACTGAGTAAATACACCAAGCAATCACAACAAGACAACCTCTTATGATGCTCATGACGTCTCAGTTGCTTGTGGATGATGATGTGTCTGAATTGGAATGAATAGTTTAGACTGCGAGAAAGAAAAGAAAGCAAGACACACGCAATTGAAAAAAAAAAGAACAAAAAAAAAGAAAAAGGAGGCCCTCCAATGTTTTGTTTACGTTTCCACGTATGGGGACCCCTGCTCATCACTTACAACCACTTTTGAAGAGATATTTTTACCATGAATGTACAACGACCAAGTCAGGCGTCACACCTAACTGCTGAAATTATAGAAGATGAAAAGGAGAATATCGTCCCATTGCAAGGGGGACGGTCGGTATCAAAACTAGCTAAAACTTTGGCCGGCTCCCGAAGTCAATCAATAGACCACTTGAAATTGAAGCTACAACAGGAACGAGATCAACATGAAAAGCAGCTAAAGGACCTGGATGAGTTGCATGATCCCCTACAGGTCTATTTAAACTACATCAATTGGACCCACCATAATTTTCCTCAAGGTGCCAACGCGTCTAGCGGCTTGTTTAATCTTTTAGAACGCTGTGCCTCAAATTTCAGAGATATTCCCTTATACAAGAATGATCCAAGGTACTTGAAAGTGTGGCTCGAATACATTGAGCATCACGATACTCCGCGGGATGCATTTATATATCTAGCGACAAAGAAGATTGGAGTCGGCTTAGCACTTTTTTATGAGGAGTTTGCTCGCCATTTGGAATCAAAGGGCAAGGTCGCAGATGCCTTTGGTGTGTACGAAATTGGAATTCAATACCGAGCTTATCCCATGATTCGACTTGAAAAATCTTTCCAACGATTCAAAGACAGAGTGTCTGCAAAGCATATAACTGTTTCACACCCGAGTGAAGATATTAGGCGTGCATTAGCGTTGAAAAAAGGAGACCAAATTGAAGCTGCAAATGAGGAGCAACCGTTAAAAAGGAGCAAAATTGATGTTTTCCAGGACAACGCAGAGTCCGATTTGGGCTCAATAAAACTGGCGTTTGAGAAGGAGAGTAGTGGGGACCTGCGGGTGTTGGAGTCTAGAAGCGATCGAATTAAGGAGAATACCCTAGCCTCGCTGAGATGGAGTGGGCAAATATTACAACAGAAGAAAATGGGCAATGCAGGTCCTAGTGAGAAATTGCATGTCTTTTGTGATAATCCTCCAAATCCAAGTGGTATACATGGCGATGATGAACCCTCTTACCGAACAATCCAGTCAGACCAAGACAGTCTGCATGTTTATACACACATTGAACATTGTGGGAAAAGACCGGAAAAACTTATGTTGAATTTGGATCTTTTGTATTCCGAAGTGGGCTCTGAATCAAGTCCAGTGGAGATTTTGGCCAAAAGCAGACAACTGACTAAGGTAGAAACTTCGAGTCTGTTGCAATACAGTCAGAAACCTTCAGTTAAGGACCACAGCAAGGACACAGTGGGTCTTAACGTGACATCGATCGATGATACATCAAGGCTACCTACCAAAGACCCCACTGTGACCATGTTTTCCAAAATGGCCAAGGACGAGGTGTTTGGAATTTTCAATCAAGCTTCGCAAACGTGTGAAAAACTTGAACTAGACGATACACGACTCGAGGATCCTACATTTACGAACCTTGATGGGTTTGTGACTGAAACATTACCAACGGTCAAAACTAACTCAGCGCAACTTCAAGAGCCACTCATTCCAACTCAGGTTGATGGAATTAATAGCAATTTACAGAATGGCGATTGTGCAAGCTCCTCCTTTCAGTTTCACCCGCCATTGGGGGAAGAAGCTAGCTCACCACATAGAGTTACGATAGACCCTTTTGATCATGAATTAAGGCACCTGATTTTGCGAAATTTGGTCATCCCGTTGGTGTCATATCCGGGGTATTTTGAGAGCTCCAACCCCACTGCAACGCAATTCCACAGAGTTTTAGATGCTGTCACTAACTCAAGCGCGCAATATAATCCCCATTCATTAATACTTGATTGTTTCGGGAAAGAGATGTATTCTTTAGTCTCTTGTTTTATTAAAAACGAATGCTCACTTGTATGTTTGGTTGAGTCAGAGTCTGGATGTTTGAAAGTTTTGAAGATTATGCGACCAGCGAGTTCGTGGGAGTTCTTCATATTACGGCGTATACGAAGGAGAATGTTGAAGGACCTAGCTCATGAAAAACAATTTGTCAAAGCAGAGAGCTTATTCAATTTTGGCGAAGAAAGCTTCTTAGTGCTTGAGTATTATCCGCAGGGGAATTTGATGAATGTGATCGACCTTTTCAAGGTAAAAGGAAAACAGCTCGCTGAATGTCTTGTAATGTTTTTTTCGATCAGATTGCTTGAAGCCGTAGAAACCTTACATGGGATGGACATTGTTCATGGACTGATAAGCCCAAAAAATTGCATGGTCAACTTCGTGTCCTGTGAGGACCGAAATCTTTCTGCATGTTTTGACCGAGATGGTAAGTATGGGTGGGACAGGAAGCGACTCACGTTGATAGACTTTAGTGCATCAATTGATTTGACAGAGTTTCACCAAGGTACATACTTTTCATCATGCAACAGTTGTTTGGATAGTGGGTTCGTCAATTGGACGAATGGACGTGGATGGACATTTGAGGTTGATTATTTTGGGCTTGCTAAAACTATTCACGCTCTACTTTTTGGCGAAAGCTTAGGAATCACACGTTGTGATGACAAGGTTCAAATACGGCAAAGTTTGTCAAGATTTTGGCAGCCCAGGATATGGCAAGAGGTATTTGAGGTTTTGTTGAATCCTGAGGGCAAGTTAGGTTCACATGATAGCGTGCGTCAATTGAGAAAAATCAGAGGAAAGCTTGAGGCATGGTTGGAGAGCTACGCAGAGGCTGGTGACTTGAGGGGTATAATTCTTTCCCTCGAGGAGGAGCTTGGCTCACAGGGGAACTAAAGTTCTCGGAGAGGTTTTGATACAGTCACCTTGCCGGAGTGTACTTCACTTTATGGTTACAAAAGAACCTTATTGAAGGAAAATGCGTCCAGAAATGTGGGCCCTAACACATATAGCAGGTGGTGGTGACGGTGGATGAAATGCAATGCTTGGTGTTGATGTTTGCGCTTCACAGAAAGGGAATTTCAGTTGAGTAAACATTTCGAACCAATGATTTGGAATAGTGACCACTACGGAGAAAAGAAGAGAAGAGAAGAGAAGCACGCAGTGGGGCGGACTTTTTTATATTTGAGGTCTGTTTCAAAAATTGACACGGTGTGTGTGTGTGGGGGGGGGATGGGTGGAGTCAAGGGAAAAGAGGAGTCTGACATCATGAAAGAGAAATCGTTGTGCCTGAAATATGAATCTAGTGATAGAATAAATCTACGCTGTATATAGATCTATATCTTACGCTATCTTCTGTATTTGATGTTACTGTAATCCAGTTGAAGCAAAGGGAGTCTCCTCAACTCGTGTTCGTTTCTTTGTTTGTGGACTCCGACTCCCAACACAAAAACTTTACAATCAATACTACAATCAGATTCAGTTGACATGTGTCAGCAACGCTGCTGCTGACGGAATAAACTCCACCGTGAGTTTGGTGTGGCATACACTGGTTCTATCCAATGTAGATGGAGGTGTTTGTTTTGCTTGCACTTGTTGACAGAGTTCAAGAATTTGTAACCACCACATGAAAATCTCAACGAAAGGGGGGTCAAATTGTCCTTTACGCTTTTTTGTTTTTTTCAGCAAAAGAAACCATCACTAACGATGTTTCATATTTACATATACGAAAACTAATAACAAAGTCAACTTAGAAAGTTCATAAAGCTCGTTGCGCTGATACCGACAAGAGCAGTTTTTACATCACGTGTCATGAATTGGAATAATAAATCACAAAACCATAAATAGATAAGAACAGTCAATTCCGCTCTGTGGGAAAATACAAGTAAAAAGGCAAAACATTTGCTTATAAATGCTTACCAATGGTTCTCCCCTCAACCTGTTAACGGCAAACAACCACTTTTTTTTCAACAGCAGATTACAATGCTCACTGATAGTTGGAAAGATCTCGCTGCTAAAGCTCGATCCACTTTTCAAGCCTCGTTGGAAAAAGCGATTGAGCTAGCAGGATTTGATGATGAATTAACGCAAAAATATGGCAACTTGCCTTCTTCAATTGGGAAAGATACTGAAGACTTTGGGTTGCCAGCCCAGTATCCGTTGCAAGAGTATATAAAAACATTGCCCAAAGAAGTTTTGAACATCACCGAGAAGGACCCTGTTGAATTATTGAAGGATCTTCAAAGTAGAAAAGTCACTTGTGTCGAAGTGTTAAAAGCCTATACCACTGCTGCCGTAGTTGCCTCAAGGTTGACCAACTGTGTACAGGAGTTTTTACCAATAGAAGCTCTTGAATATGCTCAACAGTTGGACGCGGCGTACGAAACCAAGAAACACCTCCCATTATATGGCTTACCCTTTTCAATCAAAGAGATGATTCCATTTGTCGGTAGATCAGTGACGCACGGATCCTTGTGCTACCTTGACAGAGTTGTTGATTACAATGCTGATATCGTCGACATTTTGATATCTAATGGAGCATATCCGTTTGTTAGAACAACCAACCCGCAATCATTGATGATGCTTGAATGCGTTTCCTTTGCTCATGGCCGCACAGTGAATTCTCACAATGGCAACCTCACTTGCGGGGGGTCTTCAGGAGGAGAAGGAGCTTTGAATGGATTGAGAGCAAGCCCCTTTGGGTTGGGCAGTGATATTGGTGGCAGTATTAGATGTCCAGCTGCTTTTAATGGAATATATGGTTTGAGATCGACCTTGGGTAGGATCCCCACTGCAGATTACTTTTCGTGCAATATGGGGTCCGAGTCCATTCTTTCTGTGACGGGGCCGTTGTCGCGCTCGTTAAGCACAGTGGATTTGGTGATGAAGACGGTCATCGACGCAAAGCCATGGTTGGTTGATCCCACATTGGTTCCTTTGGAGTGGAAGAAGCCAGTGCAAAAAAAGTATCGTGTCGGTATTCTTTGGTCTGACAATATTGTCAATCCATCTCCTCCTATCAAGAGGGCCTTAACGATGGTGAGTGAAAAGTTGAGTGGTTTAGAAAACTTTGAAGTTGTCTCGTTTGAGCCATACAAGCCTGAAGAAGTTGCTAAGATATTGGGAAGGTTGTATTTTGAGGATGGCGCTAGAGACTTTCGCTCAACTTTGCAAACCGGTGAGCCACTTCTTGAGCAAACAAGGTGGGCAATTGAGGATGCAAAAGATTTGGACATGCATGAACAGTGGTATTGGAATTTGCAGAAGCAAAGCTACAGAAAGAGGTTTTTAAAGCATTGGCGTGGATACACAGATAAAGACGGAAACTTACTCGACGCCGTCATTGCTCCTGTGTTCCCCAATGTTGCAGCAAAGCACGAAACTACAAAGTATTGGACGTATACTTCTCAATGGAACTTATTGGACTACCCTGTGTTGGCATTCCCCGTAACTGAAGTTGACGAGACACAGGACCAACCATATGCAAATTACCAACCACTTAACGACTTGGACAAATATTTTTATGAGCAATATGATAGTCCAAGCTCGTTTCTCAAGGCTCCGGCAAACTTATGTCTTGCTGGCTTGAGATTCACTGACGAAAAGTTGGTGGAGTTGGCGCAAATTTTGAAGGATTGTGATGGTGATAGTGATTAATATGATAATGAGATCCATAGCATTTAGCAGAGAAAAACTTGAAAGATCAACAATGAACCAAAAGGTAAAACGAAAAAGCTTGGACTGGTTCACTAACTAATTCAAGTGGTGAGCATGCCAGGAGTGATGGATGAATATCAATGTTTTTACATAGGTAATAAATGCCAAATAGAGATACCTTTTGTTTCCATATTCTCTACCGCATCCGATCATCATGCACTAAACACAATCTTTCTCATGCGTCAGCGTAAACTGTCTTTAAGATACGCTTCAAACGCATGCCCGTTTATTCAAATACTCTGGTTATTGAATAGCTCTACATTCCTAGCCATGTCTTGCTTTAGCTTAGCTTCACTGCGCTTCTCCATCGCGTCAAGTGTAGCCTTTGTTTTTAGGAACTCCTCATCGTCAACATACTCAACGCGTTGCTCATGATACAACTCCTCATCTACTTGGTTGTTATTATTGGTAACTGAATTCTCATCTTGTTGCTGCATCGTCAAATCTGCCGCTAATTTCCCGAAGTCCTTTTCTTTCTGCTTAATTTCAGAAGTTAACTTTTGAATGATTGAGTCTTTGATTAGACTCTCCTCCTTTATACGATCGCATTTCTGAGATAGTTTTACCTCGTTCTCATTCTTTTCGTCGAGTTTGGACTGTAAATTCTGAATTTTGTGGTTATATTCCTTCTTGAGCTTGGTGATGCTGAAATCTTGATCCTTGAATATTCGTCTCTCCTTATCCTTGTAATCCTCAATCAAATCGCTCATTTCCTGCTCCTTATCCCGAAGCGACTTCTTCAACAATTCCACATTCTTGTTTAATCTTTCAACTTCGACCATCAACCTCTTGACCTCTTCTTGAGCTATGGGCTCCTTCTTTGGACTAGCCTGCTTGCGGAACGAGTTGGCGTGCGAGTTCTCCTCCTCCTTCTTCCTATCCACACCACTCAGTTTCCCTCGTATCTGATCCACTTTAAGTGGTGACTCCATCTTGTTTATCTCCTCCAACTGCAATTTATACTTGTCCTTGAGCCGTTCTAGATTTGATGGTACAGTGGAGTCGTGGTTTCCATACAACGGGTTAAGAAACCCGAGGTTGTCAGCATTATTATCCTTCAACAATTTCTCCAATTTAGCCCTTAGTCTCTCATTCCCTTGCTTTGAACTAGATATTTCATCGTCACTCATGGCTTTATGATCTGTCTCCCACCCTCGGTGTTTCGAACCCGTTATTTTGATGTTTGCGCGTCTTTTCTTTGATTAAAATCTTTTGTAAACACACAACATCAATACCCCATCAATAAAGCAAATCTCCACTCGGGCCCTGGAGCACACAACTACGCACGAGTACTTCCCACGCAATGTCCTCGAAGAGATTAATTCGAAAAGAATCATTGGTATCCAAAGTACAATCATTCCCCTTTGATTTTTACCTTTACTTGAACGAATTGAGATTATCAATCGATTGGGATGAATACGCAACATCAGTTGGATTGCCCACGGGTATTGGCCTCTGCTCATTGTCACTAATCATTCAATCAATTCTATCATACTACAACTCCATAAACAAGAGGTCCAAGAATGTACTTTTCGACTCTAATTACTACCAATACGAAAATCTCAAATCAGTGGTTAGTTCTAAGCGACAATTGCATGATTATGAAATAAATACCACAACTACTAACACCGTAGTGTGGCTCTTCAATGCGATTCAGAGTATCGTAATATTTTTGTCGATTTTGAACACGATTTTGATATTTGCTAGCACAAGAGATTATCAGCTTTTGTATCACAAGACGAAGCCCAAGTACAAATCAGCAGTACACCCAGCTGATCGGGAGTCATATTTCTACTGGCTATTGTATCACGTCGTGGTTTTCTTTTCAAAGGATGATGAAGCAGAGGACGAAGATGACGATGCGATGGATACCACTGCCAATATAGAAGATGGAGAATCTTGGCAATTACGAACATGGCAACCCTCAAAATTTTCCTTGTACTTCTTTGTTGGTCTAAATCCCATTAACAACATTATAATTGCCAATTTCACACAACAATCTTCATCATTGAGTATAATTGTTTTGTTGCTGCTTGTTTCATATTTCAACTACAAGTTGATTGATTGCTTTTTGAGCTTGGTTCAAGATAAGCAAATAATATATCAAGAGACGTTCAAGGAGTTTAATGACAAATTTGTCAAACCAAAAACTAATGTTTTGAAAAAGGATGCAATGGTGGATGCTACTTTAGGCCCTTTGTACTCATCGGTACTAGTTAACCACGAGCCGTACACTTTCACGAAACTGAAGGTGTTCACCACGCATGATCCAAAAGGGAAAGAGGTGAAAGAATTTATTGACAGCGGGAGTGATGAAACTGTACACCCAAATGATTTCGATAGATCTGAATACAGATCCCAAAGCCGCAATTTAAGTCGCTTCTCCAGTCGTCGATCGAGTATATACGACCGCACGGAAATGCAAACAATACCACCATTTGCTTTCCGTAGAGGACAGGATTACGCTTCTTCGACTCCTTATGACGGACTACAGCAATCCTCATTCAGTCGCATGCAGAGCCCCAGTCCATCACGTTACTCAAACAGTGTCAATTACAATAGGTCTCCTAATTCAGCTAGAAATGCAATCAGTCAACGATTGAGTCCTCAAAAACTATCACCTGGTAAACCGGATTTGGCACATCCCAGAAGAGATAGTATCGGACACTCCAGTATACATAGTTCGCCTTCATTTCACCGATCTCCATCACCACAGAGAAGTTCAATTTTTTACCGCAGTCCATCGCCTACTCGTCATAACGATAGGAAGCCCGGCTGGAGGTAGAGAGACAAAAGGGATTAGAGAAATAAAACAAGAAACTAAAACCCCCAATTCTCTAGTTACTCTATTTTCTTCTTATACTTCATTTCTCTCATAGGTCATGAAATCCGAATATATAGTTGGATAACGTTTTCAATATGCCCAATTCAGGCTTTTTTTGGTCATCGCTTTTATTCTGGTCTTTTTTGTCACCTAATGTGATAAGGTACTGAGCTTCTTCCTTGGGATTCAATTTGTTTACAAATGTCGATTTGTTTGCACCCGATGGGGCAGATGAAGATGGAGGAGTGATAACTTGATTTTCAACTCTGCTTGCTCTCTTTTCTTGTTCCAATGCTGATTTCAATGGCATTGATAGGTTGCCGTTACCGATATCCTCATTGACAAAAACCTTCTTTTTTTCCAATTTGTCAATAACACTCTTGTGGTATGGGACAACACCAAGCAAGTTTCCATTAAAGATACAGCCATTTTCTTGCAACGCATTTAATGCTGAATTATGATTATCGTATGTGATTTTAATCCAGTTAGAGCCAGTATAAATACTGATGTTCTTTGGCTCTTTTTCGAGATCTTTCAAAAGACTCCAAGCTTCGTTTCCGGTAGAAAGATCAGTGAAGTTTTCAAGAATTGTACCAAACTGTTTGAAATATTGAATAATTTGCACAGATGCGTTTTCCGGATATCCAAATACAATGATGGCATTTTCAAATTCGTCAACTACACTCTTTGACTTGTCTTGCTTTTTGTCCTTTGCAGTTTTCCCATCTTTCAGCTCGAATCTTTTGAATAAGTTGTTGAACTCCTTCGGGTCTTTGTTTATTAGGCCAGCTTGATTTCTGGTTGGTTTGCTGATGCCAAAAGTATCCTCGTCCAAATCGTATACGGACTTTAACGGAGGTGCATCTCTAGGTTTATCGACTCCTTTGACAGAACCGTCATCATGTTGGAAACTCTCATTTATAGAGTCGTCAAATCGACTGAGATCACCTCCAAAAGAGTCGAATACGGCACTTGAACTGGTATTTGTCCGATCCAAAAAGTGACCGTTGGTGATTGTGTTTCTTCTATTAATCCCAAAAGAAACAACGTTGAATTGATCATTGGATACGAGCATTGACGAGTGTGATTCATTGGTCCCCTTGTTCTTGGAGCCTCCTGGTGCACTTATTTGAAAATTCAGCTTTTTGTGCGGTACCAAATGGTTGGGAATAACTCTTTTCTTGTGAACATGTTGAGACTGTAGCCACGCAGGTTGACCTTGTTGTAGCTGCTGTTGCATTTGCTGTTGTTGCTGTTGTTGCTGTTGTTGTTGTAGCTGCGACGGTGCTGGTGGTGGTGGTGGTGGTGGTAGTGATTGTGATTGTGCCTGTTGTTGTTGCTGTTGATTAGGCACTTGACTCACACCGTTGGCATAAAGGAATTGGGTCTGTGGCTGGCGGTTGAAGAGTGTTGACATTTTGAGAGGTTACGTAGGTATCTGCTAGGACTAAGTGTAATGATTGTTTGTCAATTGATTTTCAGTGACGATGACGATGCCTCGTGTTGTTATTTGGTGACAGTCAATGAGAAAAGGAAAAAAAAAAAAAATAATAATTGGAAGGAAAAACTTGTGTGGTAGCGCCGGGTCATAAATTGCTTCTTAGACGTGGTGTCTTTAGCTGAGGCCGAGTCTTCGCAATAACATTTGACACGCATCCACATAGCTGGAACCCCTGTAAGGACTTTGTCCTGCTCTAATGAATGTTTCTACTGTAACTTGCTACTCCAGGATGTTGGCATTTCCTCGATTGGAAACCAGTCGGTCAAACTTGTTGTGGTCCCCGTGAACCCAATTAAAGGTAAGGGAGAGAATCATGGCTTGTTTGGGGCCATGCATTTCCCATATTGAACCTACTTTGGGGCATGCCTTGCTCCAGCTCGATGATGGGGCAATTTGCGTGAGATTGGTGACCAGATACTCATTCATTTGCTTGGTCATTAACTATCAGCTGAATAAAGTAGGGTACATGTGAGT